CACACATATATACAATTTTTCACACGAATAATTTGAATAGATATATGTTTGTGTCTGTGTGTGTATAAAACAAATTTTGAAATTGTAAACAACTCACCTGAATAAGTTGTGACCAAGGGCTCATAAAAGCACCCTAACTTGACATCCACAAGATCAAAAATTTCTTCATTGCGTCCTTCATCAACGGATAGGAATTCGAAATAGGACAAATTTGGCAAAAATGTGTAGCTCACATCTTGTGGTTTGCATAAAGGATTTGTATTTACCCCAAATAATGCTTCNGAAGACATATAACTCGGGGAGATGAGGGGCAAGTTATTGGAGTAGAACTCCAATATCGGGACGTATTGAGCCATAGATCCTGTAAGAACAGTTTGAATGAATTTGGCCTTGGGCCATATTCGTGTGATTATACCTTCCCATGAGTTGTGGCTACACTCATGTTCAATCAAATCTGCCAATTCAGGATTAGGTCCTCCAAGGATGATAGAGACAGAGTCTCTACAAGCAAGATCGGTGATCCACTCGCTAACATTACCTGATCGGATATTACCACACAACTCTCTCCAGTTTTTCTCAAAAAATATGATTGCACCAACCAAAGCACAAGCAAAAGAACAAATGATAGAAACAACCTCATCTCTCCTAGCAAGACCACATAGAAGATGACAATACATATTCTCTTTGTAAATTTGGCACAATGTCACTTCGTCTGGGCTTGTATGAAAATTTGTTGGCCGCATCTTGAAATAATCGCTCATTAAAAGGCATGTTAATGCGGGAACGACTGGCAAACCGGAGGGAGTGTTGTAATGTGGTATAGTAAAATGAAATGCCAACTTTTTTCCTTGCTCAACATCATAATCTATATGCCTACAAACCAAAAAGAGGAGCACATGTATCTCATTTAGGGACGGAAGTTAACAATTACACTAATTTCAAAAGAGAAGATATGTAAGAGTGGTTTACTTGGATACAATGAAAGAGCGTAGAGCAAAGATGAAAGCCAAGTCCTCAATGTACTTGTTGTTTGCAGGGTATATCTTTTGTTTCCCTCCTGATGTTCCAGTACTGCACACCAATAAAGGTCAACAACAATCATAATAATTAAAAAACGAATTCCCTAGAATACCACGTTTTTCTAAATATTCCAAAAATATCACCATTTATTCAATATTCCAAAAATACCATAAACACAAAAATTGATTTTCAAAGGTTTGTACTTTAATATTTTTGGTTTGGGTTAACTATTGTAAAA